CCCCCCCCCCCCCGTGTTAGCATACGGTTTACTATGAATCGGCTCCCTGGGTATGTAAGCGTTCCATGCAGCGTGTTCTGGGGTTAGGGTATCGTGGAGAACCTCGAAGTAAATGTCCGGTTGATGTTAGCTTCGATAGCTTTAACTCTGAAACTATCGAGCTACTCGAAGTTATCGGTTTTACATTGTTTGTTGAGTAACGCGTGTTGCTTATATACAATTCATATAAATGAATAAACTATTCTATTATAATTTATGCTCGTGTTAAGTTGCTTGTTCACTTATTTCCTGTGAAAGTGTCTTTGTAATTAGAACAATTTTAACAGAAAATATATGAGAAGGTTCTTTTTGACCAACATTTTAGGCTTAAGGTTAAAGTTGCTGAAACAATAAAGACTTTTTCATAGAAAATGATTCAATGAGTTTCCTAAACCACGTGCACATTATAATAGAAATGACAAACGTCTTCTCATTCTTGTAAAGCGATACATTTCGGTTACTTTTACATTCTTGATGACTGGACAAAGAAATGTTACATCTTATGAATTATGTTAGATCCTATAGGCTGCCATTTTGATTTCTTCGGAAGCTATAGATTAACGTTTCTCGCTAATTTTCAATGAAGGATATAATATTATATATAATATATATATATATTATTATATTATATATTATTATATTATATATTATATATTATATATAATATTATATTATATATATTATATATTTTATTTATTATTATTATTATATTTATTTTATATTTTATTTATTATTATTATTATATTTATTTTATATTAATATAATATTATATAATATGGACATAATATTGAAACGAAAGCGTTTTCGGAGCCACCGCACACGTGCTTCCGGTTTCATGCATAAAAAATTAATGTAGCAGTACCTTAACCCCTTACTCAAAATTTGCAATTGATTAAGAACTGTCCCCTCTCTACAATCTCGTGCTTTTATCTAGAAGACGGCGCGGGGCGCAAGGGGGAAAAGCGATTTACTATGATCATATAGTTATATGTTTTAGTTCGTTACTTCGTCGATGGTACTCGGAAAGACATGTCGGTAGTTCGACAACGTCAGTCGGTCCGGCAAATTGGAATTACAGGCGTAATAGGCTCGGATAATTGACGCGTAACCTCGAATAATGGTTTAAAGCACGTTTAACGGCGTTTACGAAAAATTGACAGCAAAATGGCACCGCAGTGTTGCGGGCTGGCCAAGGGTTGCGATTATGTCTCGCGACAATGGTCCTTGAACGATGCTTCACATTTTAGGAAATACTGCAACGATTGTCTTTTAATTGTCTGACCATAGAGAGCATAATCAGGGAAAATGCACATTTATTCCATCCGAAATTGATTAAAATTGAGGGTTGTTTCGTTCAAATTTTAACGACCCTCAGAATAGTCAACCCCATAATAGCAGCTGATTACTCATTATAGTAGCTTCAAATTGTTTTCAGTATTGAAACGTGCGTAGACCAATTTCAAATCGCTTTTAATTCAGCTCAAGTCTTATCAGACTAAATCATTTATGTTTGTTTAACGACTAATCTAAATATTTCGGCGTGGAACCGATTGCAGGGCAGCATAACCGAGCTTTTATCACTATCTTCGCTTTTTAGAATATTTATGTATCACGTCGACGGCGATAGAAAGCTTACACAAGCCGTATCGAGAAATAATAAATTCGACTTTATTGTCGGGCTGCATTATCTCCGGAACAAGGTTCGAGTCCACTTCAGGTAATTGTGTTCTACACAATCGCAACTCACCACACAGGTAACAAAATAAAAAAAAGTCATGAAAACGTGTCGAGATTATTTTTTTCGTCCACTTCCTTACTTAAACAAAAACTTACTTACTCAACAAAAAGTATTTAATTTAGTGTCAAATGTTGTGAAAACTCTGATCCGATCTTTGAGCAAAATTCATTTCTGCTTAAAATTAGAATTCTTTTATTTCTCAGTACGTTTATTAGCTGGTAATTTCTAGAAATTTCGAAGCCAATGGTTTCCACCTGCGTTGCAATA